AACTCGAATGATAAAAGGGTTGGAACACTTTCCCTATGAGGAAAGGTTAAAGCGCTTAGGGCTCTTTAGCTTGGAGAAAAGACAACTGAGGGGTGACATGATCGAGGTTTACAAGATTATGCATGGGAAAGAACAAGTAGAGAAAGAGGAACTTTTCTCCCTTTCTCACAGTACAAGAACTCATGGGCACTCCATGAAATTGCTGAGCAGTCGGGTTAGAATGGATAAAAGAGTGATTCACACATGGAATTCACTGCCACAGGAAGTGGTGGCGGCTACAAGCATGGACGGCTTCAAAAGGGAATTAGATAGGCATATGGAGGTCCATCAGTGGCTATTAGCCACAAGGTATAGATAGGGGCTCTGGGACAAGTGATGCTCTGTCTTCTTGGTGCTGGGGGGGGCAACAGTGGGAGGGCTTCTAATGTCCTGGCCCCACTGGTGGACCTCCTGATGGAATGGTATTTCTGGCCACTGTGTGACAGAGTGTTGGACTAGATGGGCCTTTGGCCTGATCCAACATTGGCGTCTCTTATGTTCTTATGTCATTTTCATCTTTCTCCTGGTGCTGTTTCCCTAACTGAAACCAACTCTCCCCAGCTTCTGTTAGCTCCTTGGGGGCAGGGAACAGGAAAATAAGTCTTTCTGGGTTGGAAGTTCTTGGAGATTTAAGGATGGAGTCTGGGGAGGGTGTGATTTAGGAAGGGGGAGGACTCAGTAGGGTATAATGCCATAGAGTATGCCCTTCAAAGTAGCCATTTCCTCCAGGGTAACAGATCTCTGTCATCTAGAGGTGACTTCCAAATAACCAGGCCCCTTCTGGAGGCAATGCTGCCTAATACCAACTTTTGCGGGGTGGGTGGGTGATCTACAATGCAGAATAGAAAACACCCCTGCCCCTTCCCACTGCAATTTTTACAGTCGAATTAGCAGCCCAATATGTGGCACCAGGCCTAGTGCGACCCTTTGTGTATCCTACACTTTTGCAACTCTTAACACACACACACCCCAGTGCTCCCTCCAAGCTACCTCCCTGCTAGCATGAGGTCTTGAAGATCCCGTTCTTGAGGAAGGTCTGATCAACCCACCTCTCCTCATGCTGGGGTGGTTTCAGTTGTGGCGCTTACCTGGTGGAACAGCTTTCTGGTCCACATGAGGAGAGTTCACAGCCTGAAGGCTTTCGGAAAGTTGTGCAAAACTGGGCTCTTCGGGCAGGCATTTTAAGAAACGTCTTAGGGCTGCCAGCCTTCAAGTGAGGCCTGGAGCTCCCTTGGAATTCCAGTTGACCTCTCGGCTCCTGGGACCAGGGCTCCTGGAGGAAAGGGCTGCTTGGGGGGCGGGGAGGCGGACTCTATGGCACCCCCTGGCTCTCAAGCTCCCGCCTCTTCCCAGGCGCCACCTTCCCCAGACTCCACCCCCTCCCCAGATCTCCAGGATCTCCTTTATCTGGAGTTGGCAACCATGTCCAATGCCTGGTGGGGCCTCAGGATTGTGACTGATCTCCAGAGTACAGTGATCAATTCCTGGGGTTGCCAACCTCCAGGTGAGGCCAGGAGATCTCATGTTACCACAATTTATTTCCGGACGACAGAGATCGGCTCCCCTGCTTTGGAGGGAGGAGTCTATGTACTCCTTGTACTCTGCTGAAGTCCCCCCCTCTCCAACCCCCCCCTCCGGGATCCACCCCCAAAATCTCCAGGTCTTTCCCAACCCAGAGCAGGCAGCCCTTTCAATTCCCCTGAAGAAAGTGGCAGCTGCAGAGAGTGAACTCAGTGGCATCACATTCCTGCTGAGATCTAATGGGTGGAAATTACAAGGGAGTCGTTACCGGCTAAATATCAGGAGAAACTTCCTAACTGTAAGAGTGGTTGAGCAGCGGAACAGACTGCCTCGGGAGGTGGTGGATGCTCCTTCGCCGGACGCTTTCAAGCGGAGGCTGGATGACCATCTTTCGGGTATCAGCTATGCTCCTGCAGAGTGCAGGGGGTTGGACTGGATGACCTGCAAGGCCCCTTTTAACATTCTATGATTTCTATGATTCTATCCCTCCCCTGCCCAAAACTCTACCATCCCAGGCTCTGCCCCCAAATCTCCAGGAACCTCCCTACCTGAAGTTGGCAGCCTTAGCTGGCCTAATCCTGTTGCAGGCAGGAGGCTTTTAGCAGCTTGAAAGGGGTTGGGTGAAGTTCAAACATGCTTCCCCTCCATACGAGTGTTGTGTGAAGGGGAAAACCTCAGCCGACAGTTTTGGAGCCGCAACCCTCCCCGTCACATCAGGAGTCCTCCGCTGTTTGAGCCTGCAGGCATCTTTGGAATTCTGGCTCTGGGTGGTGGGCACAAAATGGCTGCTGCAGGAGGCAGAGTCAGCCACAAAATGGCTGCTGCAGCTTACCTTCGTTTTGGGTTGCCAGCTTCAGGTTGGGAAATGCTTGGAGATTTGTGGGGTGGAGCCTGGGGAGGGCGGGGTTTGGGGAGGGGAGGGACTTCAATTGGGTTGAATGCCACGGAGTCCACCTTCCGGGGCAGCCATTTTCTCCAGGTTAACTGACCTTTGTTGCTTGAAGTTCAGTTGGAATCCCAGGAGATCTCCAGCCAGCCACCCCCTGGAGGTTAATACAAAAACTGAGGGTCACAGTGTTAGGAAGACATACAAATATATATATATCACTGTGTAGAATAAATATATGTTTATGGTAGAACAAGTTTATACTTTATTCTTTTTATATTTTTCAATACTGTTGTCTAAATATTGGTATCAAATATTATCAAAAATATTGAGCCTGGCAGCTACCTGATAAAATTTGAGAGATACGCAGTCTTAGATGGGTTATTATGTTTGCCGCAAGGGTTCTGATGGGACCCTAGACAATGCTGTTGTCTTAAGAACTTTTGTGCACACAAAGAGAAATTGTTGCGCCTCCTGTCATTTATATATACATCACAGCCCTTGAAAAAGATTCATTCGAAACGGGTAAATTACTAGGGTCCCCCCTGGGACTAGTGAGAGCATTACTGACAAGGCGCTGTCTGGATGTAAACCTGCACTTGATGTATTGTTTGGGTGAAACATATTTTTCTCTATGTATTGTTTGGGTGAAATATATTTTTGATACTATTTGATACCAATATTTAAACGACAGTATTGAAAAATATAAAAAGAAAAAGAATAAAGCATAAAATTGTTCTACCATAAACATATATTTATTGTACACGGTGATATATATATTTTTGTATGCCCACCTAGAGGTGGGCAACCCCTGTTTTACTCTTCACCTGAGCTGCGCATGTTCCAGCCCCTCCCCCTGGGGATGCCCAGCTTCCGTGTCCCTCTGGATCCAACGGGAAGGAAGGGCCAAGGCCTCCCCTGTGGAGCTCCCTTTCATAAGGCGCCTGCCTGCTCACCCCCACCTTGTGACTCGAGAAACTGGAGAAACCCTTTGGGGCCCCTATGAGTGACTTCCAGGACTCTTTTTGGTTTTATAATATCGGTTTTGATTCTTTCCTGTAAGCCATCCTGAGTGAGGCGTAACCTGCAGAGTCTCCTGCTTGTGCGGAGGAGCCGTGGCTCCAGCATTTCAGGGTTGGTTCAGCA